GAAGGAGAAAAGGGAGGAAATGGGGAAACCATTCCCCTTTCCCCCCTTTACTGTCTCTGATCTCCCGCTACAGTAGGAGGTGCCTCGCCTCAACGGAAAGATTGCTGCTTTAGCGGGGTCAGGCTGTACAGTTGAGTGCATTTCCTTTCTCTGTGTGTTGCCTCATTTCCCTAACCGGTCCTTCGAGTATAGAACCCTTTAGGGCTTAAGATTTGAAAAACCACCACCCTTTGTGGTTCCATAATAGGTTGTGTCGTTAGTTTGGAAGTACTCCAAAAAGGGCTCGTGTTTATCCCTTCACTAGTCGTTCGGGGACGAACGAGGGGTAAATTGGTATCTATTGTAATGACCCGACTTGTCATTATTTAGGAAAGAAAATGTTGAGGGTAAAACTAGGGGCACCACAGATGTCGCTAGGGCGGCGGCGCCTCAGCGAGATAGGTCACGCCAGAGCGGGAATGACGGGACCAGAACTTAAATAACGCAAAACCTTATTTTCTCCTTTTTCTCAAAACACCAAAAAGAGGCGAGAATCAACCCTGAAACCCTCAAAAGGCTACTCTAGGCTTGGGAAGGAAGGAAAAAGAGAATTCTAGCATAAGGAGGTCGATAGCTTGCAGATTTTTGGTCAAGATTCACCATCTCGTCGTTTGAAAGCCAAGACTTGGAGCTACAAATTCTCTGCGACTGCTTGGCGCCCGGGTAGGCTAGGTTTATTAATTAAGTAGTTGTAAATATGTGATTCAATGTGTAGTATACTGGTAATTGATGGTAGAATTCATGTGTAGGCTTTCGTGCACCGAAAAAGGGATAGTCGTACATGTAATTATAGTTGTTCCATCAAAATTATACCGTAGGAGGAAGCCTAATCATGTGAACTAGGGTAGCTGATGGTTTGATTTCTGTTTGTGAGATGTATGTTGGTAATTGCTTCATTATAATGCTTGTATGTACGTCAATGAAGCCTTTTATCAAACCTAATGAAATAAGTATGAATGAACAAATGTATGCCATGAGTCAACACTTGATGGTATGCTTATGAGTATGTCCATATGAGTGTGATTATGATTGTGGTTGTGTTGAATCGATCGGATGTCACATTTCGACACACTAACTGGGATCGAATGTCACGTTTCGACACTTATATTGGCGCGGGTGTCACGTTCTGACACACTAATTGGGATCGGGTTCCACGTTCTGATACACTAACAGTTTGAGTATGGGTTCCATGAGAGAACCATTGAATTGTCATATCTATTTGTTATAGAGAATGTGGTATGTACCTTGCTTCTGAACTGATGATTGAACCGTAATTTATATATAACTATGTTAATGTGTTGTGCTTATTTTGTTATATATCTCCTTATTGAATAAACTGCGAATGGTTAGGCTCAAAATGGAATAAGATCTAGTAAGCGGAGATTGAGGGTTCCGAGTGTTACCGTGTATTACTTTAGAGGTGGTTGTGTTGCAATTGTTAGGTAGCGAGGTCATACCTGGGAATGGGGTTCATACTTGAAAGGATAGCGAGCCTTGATAGCATGTACTATGGGGTCAAGGGTGTTGGTGATGTGGAAGAACTAAGGATATGTTGTAGTTAGTTGGGTTGGTAGTGATTACATCCGGAACCTCTCTAAAAGGTAGAATGCTAAGTAACGATCAAGAGTGGAGCGAGTGAGGGTTACAGTCAAGTGTGCTAGTATATGCTAATGTATTTGGAAATGGTAAGGATATGAGGATATAAATGTGGAGGAATGAACAGTTTTATTGCATGTTTCCTGCTAGTCGATTTACTTATATTATGCGGTGGGTATCGGATTGACCGATGATGTCTACCAGTATGTGTGGTTGTACTGATACTACTCTTGCTATGCCTTTTTGGCATAGTCTGGTTGCAGGGTCCGTGATGTTTTCATAGGTGAAGACGAAGACAATCTCCAACAACTTCTATTTTATCCTTCCATGTGGTGGGAGCTGCGTCAGTTGTTATCTTGTTTATACCTTGTAATCTTAGAAGCTCTTGTACCTGTTTAGACTAGATCTCTGGGGTGTTAATTACTTTACAAGTCTTAACTCGAAATGTTGAAAAACCCTTTATGTTCTTTTAATCTCATGAACGTTATTTTATCTTCAGTTTTCTTAATCTTCTACATGTTTTAACCGTTTGGGAATTGAGGGTTCTCCTACTTAGGTGTTTGAGTAGATGCCCGCACGGCCCGGTGGGTTGGGTCGTGACAATATCTCTACACTTGAATGTATCTCTCACTACTTCAATGTATCTCTCGCTACATTCAATGTATCTCTCTCTACGTTGAAAATATGTAATAAGGCATCCCTATTTATAATACTAACAACCAAAGTAAACTAGGACTAGGAACCTATAGAACTAACAAATCATAATTAAATATAAATAAGAAAATACCATAAATAATAAATCTTAAACTAGTAAGGAATCCTAAACTATTTAGGAATCCTAATCTTGATTTATTTCCTATATCTTGCATTTGAGCTCCGATTAAATTCAAATCGTGCACTACAAAATCCATTCGGGGTGGCGCTCCCAACAAGAATTTTTCATACTCGGATCTTGAATTAACCTGAGATCTTTTCTTAAGGATAAGATAATCTCGAAGCTTGAATTAACCATCTATATTAATTTTTTTTGTGTCTAATCATATTATGACATAAAGTTATGGATTTAAATTTTATATATAGACAAACATTATAAACATTTTTAATACTATCAATGTAGCTTGAACCGATTACAATAGAACCTCTCTAAATTAATACTCAATAAATTAATAAACTCTCTAAGTTAATATATTTTTTGTTCCCGACTTGGGCGAGTGGAAAAATTCACCGATTTTATATGATACTATATTTTCAAAAGACCCCAATATAAATATTGGTCCCATTATAAATTAATTATTCTTTAAAAATACAAAAATATCTAAGAAAATCTAGTTAAATATAATTCTAGTGTTTTTTTTGTTAAAATTTAAATCTAGTTGAATCTTATCTCTAACTTTTTTTATTGCATCCAAAACTTTCGATGTCGTCTTCTTGAACTACAACAAAAATTGTGAAAAGTTCTAGATACGATAAGTGTTTTCTTATGTGTAACTGGTTCTAAAGGTATTATATTATTTTCAACTTCATCATCAATATTGTTTTCTCTGATGATATCCATAATTTCTTCTAAGTTCTCGATCTCGGAACATGTATTTTCTGCAGTCAAGTAATCTAATAGGCTATTAACATCCATTTTATTGTGGTAGCGGAAATTAACAATCATAACAAAAAAATTCATGATGTCCTTTTCATTAGTGGGTTCATTTAAATTTCTTGAGGCTTCATCCCATGAACAATGTAATTAAATTAACCATTATTAAATCTCAAAAGCATTCTTTAAATAATACCTCGATAGAATAATAATATTTTGTAATTCCGATAATATTAATTTAGAGAGATTTTAGTGTATATGTTGGGATTAAATATGGAGTAATTTCCCTAGATAGTCACCTATGTTTGGGAAATTACCTAGTAATATCACTTATGTTTGTTTTAGGACTACAATATCATCCAACTCTACATATTTTCCTCAAAATATACTTAACACAAAAAAAAACATCATCTCTCTCCTAATGGGATGCCATGTCACATTATTCCTTTTTTATTATTAATAATTTTTTTAATTTTATTTAGACATCCAATATATTATACCCAGCAAAAAAAAATTACATAGCGCCAAAATTTTGAACCTTAGTTCTGGGGGATTCAGAGGCAAATCCAATTTTTAAAAATATATTGCTAAAATTATCTGGATTAAGATAATTAATTATTTTTGTATTAACCTAATTGAGACTTTATAAGTATCCGGCTATAAATGCTACGTGTATAAAAACAAACTACCTAATACAAATTATATATATTTTATTTTTGTCTTCACCTATATGGAATTTTTTTTACTAATATCTGTTACAATTATCCATGTTTACGTCCAGATCAGATTAATTAAAATAAACTTTATGCCACAAAAACATAAAACACACATAGACACACTTTATTCTCAATCACATATCCGAATCATAATTTTATTTTATTTTTCAAAATATTAAACTTAAAAATTTAATAATTTATATATATTTAATGAATTTTAATTATAAAATTAAAATTTGAATCAAAATTATTAAGTTTGATCGAATTCGTAATCCAAGTCTTAGCTCCGTCCATGCTCCCACATAGAGCTACAATGATTTTCTCATCCCCTCTATAAAACTTTTCCTTTTAATTTTCAATGATATATATATATATATATATATTTATTTATTTATTTTCTCTTTTAATTTTGGTAAAAAAATTTAAATCTCGAAAGTCAGATGAATTATTTTTAACAGAAGTTTTTATATATGTCTACTGAAAATTGTAAATTATTAATTCACGACACTAATAGACAATTATTCATATTTGGATTTGCCTCCGAATCCCCCAGAACTAGGGTAGAAATTTTGACGCTATGTAATTTTTTTTTTAATGAGTATCATATATGGGTTGTCTAAATAAATTTTAAAAAATTATTAATAAAAAAAAAGAATAATGTGACATGGCATCCCATTAGGAGAGATGATTTTTTTTTGTGTCAAGTATATTTTGAGGAAAATATGTAAAGTTGGGTGATATTGTAGTCCTAAAACAAACATAAGTGATATTACTAGGTAATTTCTCAAACATGGGTGACTATCTAGGGAAATTACTCATTAAATATGTGGGGAGAAAAAAAAAGTAAAAAAAGAAAAAAGAAATAAACACGCCCAGATACATACTCTGATGCTTCTTTTTAAAGAGGGCCAATGCGTGCCTTCCCGTGATTCCCCTTAATTACCCTTTCTCCTTCCACCTTCCTATCCCTCCACTCCTAAATCTCTCTCTCTCCGATTCATCAATCTGAAGAAATAATTTCTCACTTCTAATCCTCATCTTCTTCTTCATCATCATCATCATCATCATCATCATCAGGTAATAATCAGTGTATTTAACAGTTCCTACTTCCTTCTAAAATGCATTTTACAAGTGATCTTTTGCTTTGTGATTTGTTTTTTGTGTGTTAATTGTAATTATCTGTGTTTAGTTTATCGGCTAATTACGAATCTGACTCGAATTTTATTGATTCGTTCTTATTTTCTTCAGAATCTATCTTTGAATCTGAATTGGTTTGAGTGCCTTTTATTTCTTATATCTGTCTATTCATGTGACTGAATCTACAGGTTTTCTTCTTCAGACCTCAAATTGGATAGTGATTCAACCGATTCGGTCCTAAATTTGATTCGATTTTAACTGAATCTGATGGAACCAATGGTTGTAGAGATGTCTTCAACGGTGATCTCGAATCCTGTAATGTCTTCTGACAGAGTAATATCAAGGAGAAAAAAGAGTAAGAAAAGTTTGAGAAATCAAACTCAAAACATTAGCAACAATAACAGTAACAGTGAAACTCCGAGTAATACTACTGAATGGAAAACTCAAGCTCAACAGCAAGTTTACTCTTCAAAGCTACTCAAAGCACTCCGTGAATTGCGGATCAGTTCACCAGCGGCGGCGGCGACGACTTCATCGGTGCCGGCGCCAAAAGGCGGTCGAGCCGTACGTGAAGTTGCTGACAGAGTCCTTGCCGTTACTGCTAAAGGACGATCCAGGTGGAGCCGAGCTATACTTACAAACCGGCTCAAGCTCAAGTTCATGAAGAAACACGCCAAGCGGCAGAAAATGGCGGTTTCCTCTACCAGCCGGTTACCTAGGAAGCCGAGAGTGGGGATTTTGAAGCTGAAAACGAAGAATTTGCCGGCTTTTCAGAAAAAAGCTCGAGTTTTAGGACGGCTTGTTCCTGGTTGCCGGAAACAACCGCTGCCGGTGATTCTAGATGAAGCTACCGATTACATAGCAGCTCTTGAGATGCAAATTCGAGCGATGAGCGCTTTAGCTGACCTACTTTCTGGTGCTTCCTCAAGTACTACTGCTCCTCTTGATCAGCTCAGCTCGAGTCGACCTCCTCCTATTTGATGATTTATGGTTTTCTTGCTTTTCTATTTTATCTATTTTCTTCTCTCCCTTTCTATGAATATTCCTCTGTTACATATATTTCTTCTATCTTTTCAAGTGTTGGGACAATATTAGTAATTGAATTATCAGTTATATAAGGCAGTAATAATTTTGCTGGTTTTGAAATGGATCTAGAATGAAATCTATCCTAATTAATTTGACTCATTGATTTTAATTACATAGATCATCTGATATAAACATATCATGTGTAAGATGTTCTGTAATGATATCATCTCCTACGAATATGTAATATACATTCGAGAAGCTTGTTGGCTACCTATAGGATTGTATATACAAGTCAAAATTTGGTTTAATGTATATATATACAAGTGTTTGACAGTTCTAGACACAAACTTTTAGTTTGATTCTGATTTTGTTGAGTATCAAATACATAAAGATTGAGTTTGAAGTGCCATTTGGTTCTTGTCGAGAGTCAGTAAGTTGTATGAAGATGACACATCCATGACTCAGGTAATAATAAGTTAACTGAATTGTCATTTTCAGTGAGGAGGACAAGCAAGAAGATAAATTTTGTATTTTGTACCGTAGGCACTCTCAGGAACCATCTGTATGTAAATGTAATGTAAGTAATAGTTACAAGATGGTGGGGTTAAATTAAAGTTGCAAACAGGACAAATGAATTTATGAGCAACAGCAGCAGCACTTCATGTGGCTTCTTGTCCTTGTGCACTCCCACTTTAGTAAATGGGACCGGCTGACTTTCTGACCTAATATTCATTGCCCTCTCTGTGTACTGCTAACACAAAATGATCTTTGGTTGTGCAACCAATATGACTTGGGCATACATGCTGGTTTACTGAATAAAAACTTTATTTTTGAATGAATATAGGTGTTCATATTTCTCTTTTACTTTTGATAGGATTTGTAATATGGTTTTGAGTTGGTGAAGTTCTATTCAAATGGACACCTATAGTACTTCAGATAAAAAATAACGATATCATATTTAGGTATGAAAAAATGGGATAGCGTAAAGAAAGAAATACTATAATTTTTTCGTATTTACTTTAATCACCCACAAGCAGAAAGTATCACCCACAAATATACAAATTTTTAGTTCCTTTGTGTTAAATGTTTACATATTTCAGCTTAGAAATACCTTTCAATGGTCTTTGGTGACAGTGATAATTAAAGGAGTAGTTAGCAATATATATGTCAGTGAATTTGCGTGATATTAAAGTAATATTGTTTTATAAAAAAATTAGTAGTTCAGTAACTTTATATGAAGTTAATCACTTGTATTTTTGGTATATAGAAAAGTAGGTGTTAGGAGAGATGGACAAAAAGAGAAGTGAGAGTGCACGTAAAATACAACATAAAGTAAGGAAGTGACAGAATGAAGAGTAAGATGGAGCAGTTTTCATGCAAAAAGAAAGAAAAGAAGGCATAACATCAATTCAGATACCCATGTGCCTATCTCACTATCTTTTCTGACTGTAAAAATCATTTAGCTGTCCCTTTAATTTTCACAAGCCAATAGGCCTTCTTTACTGAAATAATTGCCTCTCTTTCCATATAATTAAGTTTGTATACCGAGGGGTCGTTGGTTGATAACAAGTTATCTCAAAATTATTAATCTTGACATAGGTTATTTTATCATATATATAAAATACCTCATTCTAAGTATAAATTGTAGAATAAATATTCAAAATTGTCTACTACCTCTAACCACACGCAAGATAAGATAATCATGCATCTTACCTTGTCTCTTAAATTATTATACATTATACCTAATATCAAACGAGTTCTAATAGATTCAATAACTTAATTATCAAACTCTATCTACTGATCATAATGCATCATGTCATAACAAACTAAAATCTGTTTTGTTCTACTTACATTCAAACAAGAAATTAATGAGATATTATATACACAATTATTTTGTGGTTTGGCAATTATTGGGGTTGATGTGTGTGATTCCACAGTCAGCTAAAAAGATGACAGTTACTAAAACTGTCGACATCTGTGGTTAGTTGATATATTTGATCTCAAACTGACTAACCACCTACACTTTTCGAGGTCTGATTTGCTCATCGTCATACCAACACTACCCAAATTATTTTCTACTATAGAGAAGATGATGACAAATGAAAAAAGATTACAATATATATTTTTCTTACTTTTATTTCAATATATAGAGATGAATTCATAATTTAAAATTACTGGACTCAATATTTAGGTTCTTAACATTAAATTGATAATTTCAAAATTATGAATTCAAAATTTAATATACTCTCTCGTCCAACAATAGTTGTCCACTATACTAAAAATAGTTATCTAATAATATTTGTCCAATTTAGAAAATCAAGCGATAAGTTACTTTCTGCGTGTATTTTACCTTTGTTATTAAATACTATTTATCATCTAACACATTTCTCAAAACATTAAATTTAATAAAGTCATAATAGTAATATCATCCATATTATTATTGTTTTTTAAGGGGTGTGTCAAATCAATAGTGAACAACTATTATTGGACAAAGTAAGTACTCCTTCCGTCCCATTTTATATGTCATCCCTTTCTATAAATAGTTAGTCCATAATACTTGTCATTTCATAAAATCAATGCATAAATTAGCATATTGTTCTTTTTTTACCCTTGTGAGTTACTTAGCATTGAAAACATACATTTGACCAATTTAGAAAAATTAAGGAAATGATTCATGTTCATTGGTTAAATTAATTAATCAAAATAAATTAATTCATATTCATTGATTGAAAACTTGAGTTCCAAAAAAATTAAATAAGGGTAGAAGGGTAAAGTTACTTCATTTCTTAATTCGAGTGCAAAGTAAAAAGATGACATATAAAATAGGACGGAGAGTATATTTTTTTACATTTTAGTGCACACCCCATGGTGAAATTAAATTTATTTGAAATTAGAATTATTTAGGTATATAAGTCATAATGACAAGCATTAATGTTGAGATGGAGAATGTCAAATGGGTACATCAAACCACTAGAGACTTCTATGTATAATTCAAAATGTCGTCTCCTATACTTGTTTGACCTTATAAAGTGTGAGTTGCCACATTTAACATGGTGCCATTTGAAAAAATGTTCCTTTCAATGTTGTATAGTTTACCTAAGAAGAATATGCTCTTTTACTTGTGATGAGTTTAATTAGAATTTAGAGGTAATAATTTGTAACATGCACTAGAAAAGATTAACTTATTAGTAGTATTATTATGGAGAGAATATACTTCTTCTGTCCATTTTTAGTTATCATAATTTCTTTTTTTAGAGTCAAATTATAAGAACTTTGACTAATATTTTACGATGTATTTTTCATCATACTGATATGCAAAAAAATTTGCAATTTATAGTACTTTTCGTATAGTTTTTGAATATCTAAATTTTTTTTGTTTAAAATATCGAATTAATATAATTTAGCTTAACTTTGAAAATTAGTTAAATTGACCTTTGAAAAATGCAGTATGACAATTTAAAATGACCGGAGGGAGTAATAGACATAATAAATGTACTTATCAGTGTGCATGTATGATTATGAAAATTGGATACAAATTGGACATGAAATTAGAATTTTTTTTTTTCTAAATAACAAGAAGATAAATTAACTTGTTGAAGAAGCATTAGATGATACTATCAGTTAGTAAAATATTAATTGTACGTACATTAACAGAGATGCTAGTGTTTATGAGTAGTTATCATGACTACATTGTATTGTGGCTAATTTTGTTTAGGCCACAAGTTTTCATCATGTGCATTAATTCGTCCACCAAATTTTTGTTCCTAAATTCGACAAAAATAAAAATAATATATTTAACAAACATAAGAACCTCAAGTGTAACAGGTATAATATAGTCTTTTATTTTATTCCCCCCTTGTCTCTCTCTCTTTCCTATTCTTAAAACCGATCAAAATTAAATATATATGTATCATAGATGAAAACTAAGAGATAAGATAAGAATGATTACTTAATGCAAAAAAATAAAACCTACACCTCATTCATGTGTACTTGAGGGGGGGATAAAACTTTAGTCACACACCAACAAATGTTGTGGGGTAGTATGTGAGTACTCCTTCATCTTAATCATAGATTTTAGGTTCAAATTTTTTTAAGTATAAAGTCATTTTTATTACAGAGTATTTTATTCTAATATGAAAATTATAATTATGAATTCAAATTTAATCAAGCTATAATATAAATATCAAATACAAGGGTTGAAAAAAAAACCCTTCATGGACACAAAAGATAAAAAAGATAAATGGACAAAACACTTAAACAACATTAATATTAATCATGATGTCTAATTCAAACCCATTACCAAAGTGGAAAACTACAAATCAAAGTTGTTGATCAATCATAAAGCATAGCTAGCAATGGCACATGGGTAGACATGACCTATGTCCCTTAGGATTAGGCCCCATCTAGATTATAATATACTTAAAATCCCAAAAGAAATATAAAGTATATATAGTGTCAAATAAAATAGGTTTGACAGATCCATCAAAAAGTGATTATATTTCTATTTTAACATAAAATACAGGAAATGTGTCAAAAATTATTATCTTTGGTGGGTTCCACCATAGAATCAAATCATTTAGTGGCCACCATGTGGTGTGCCTACCCATTATCAACCTATTTATACTTTTCTAATATCTAACCTCTCCGCACTATTACCATTATTACTAATAAAACATATGCTTAACGTCTTCTTCAACAACAAATTCATCACTCTTACAATCTATGAAATTTAACTTAACATAGTTGTCAAAATTGACGAATTGCGCTATAGTTTGTTGATTTAAAAATGGGTTTGAACTTTGAATGAATGAAGAGAATATTTTTGTTTATAGATATAGTTTTGTTTGTAATTAAAAAACATAGCGAGAAATTTGCTTAATTAAGAAATGTAGTAGAATTTTGGTTTCAAAATGTAGCGATATATACTGTATTTATGCACGTAATAAGTGTATCAATGCGCATATGATTTCCTATATCAGAATGCATTATATCCACATATAACACTAGGGAAATACATTATGTCGATATGCTTAATAATAGAGCTGTCAATATGGGCTGATCCA